AAGAATGAGCAATGTCACAAAGAACATAAAAAATCCGGATCTGCTATATGTAAACCAAGGTTGACACCCTGGTGTACAAAATAGGGGAACCCACAAATTTTTTATTCGTCGTAAGCCCCTCGTTGTGAGAGGGTCTATACACCGGAGTGTGTACAAATAAATTTATCCTAAGAAATCAATGCATGTAGAGAATTAGGCTTGCCATTGGGCATGCACAAGTGATTTGTTCTAGTGTTGTATGAAAACTGTGGAGAAATGCATACGGGCAGGAAATGAAATTTAACTACAGGTGAGTCAACCATTGAAGAGAAGAAATTAAGGCGAGAAACTCAAAGAATCGCTAATTCGCTATAAGCAATTGTGCAGTGTACATTTAACGTTCTAATTTTGTGTAGGGAGAAGATGAAAGACGAAAGAGTGAGGAAAATATTGTACTATGGAGTCTTTGTTGGTAATTTGTCAAACTACGTTTAAATAGTAGCTCTCTTTTTTTTACATTTGTTTTTTCGTTTTAAGTTTTCATCGTGTTTACGGTACATTAGGTGGGATTTAATCCCAACCCTATGAAAGATTTGAATAAAAATAAGTGTGATCAACTTAAATTATAAAAGCCATTGTCGCGATCGACTTGTTTTTTTAACGAGGTGTCCCAGCTTACGCCAGACTATATCCTCGTCCCTGAACTTCCGACTCCTCAGCAGCTCAGGGAGGTAAATCGCGAGATGTGCCCAAGTTGACCAGGGTTCGAACAGCCTTTATACTCCTGACCCCAAGGAAGCCTCCTCCATGGTTATTACATCACCAAACTGCGACTTGTTTCCTTTTCAAGAAATCACAAGGATAAAGTCACAACTAATGAATTTTCTGTTAACAAAAAACTATTTTAATAATTCTAATGTTTTTGCATGCACTTTGATTGTACATGCTTCTATTTTTCAATTTTAGATGACGACTTTATCAACTGATAAGATCGTTTGATCAAATCATATATGATTGACTTCAAAAATTGCATGCAAGAAGACTGTTGAGAGTCTAAACAACTAAATTATTGCACATAATTTTATTTTTATGCGTGTATACAATTTATTTATTTATATTTTTAAAACACTCTCTAGTGTACAAATTAAATTCATTTTTTATTTATAAAAACTGGACACATGAAATATTTATAAAGTATTGAGTGCAAACCACTCATAACAATCGTGTATTTTGCTATAATATAAAATGATAAAGATCAAACTTTAAAGGGAGGACGAATTTCTCGATATAACTAAGATAAAATATATTGTATTTATACATATTTTAAGAAAAGAAATTAATTTGGATTACCAAATTAACGATGAATATGTTAGTCTATCCTACAACACCTTAGAAATAAGAAGTACAAAAATCAATATTTATGTTACTTTCTACCAGAAAAATAAGGAGAACGAGTAATAATTTTCTAAATCTCTCTAGATCAGACCAAACGATCAATTCATTAGAATTTTAACTAATTTTGAGTTTTAAAATAGAGAACTTGACGATTCTCATCTGTTCTTAGTTCGAGATAAAGAATCAAAATTTTACTTTGATTCCAAGTTCTTAACAACTCAAACATAATTGAAGTTAGACCATGTCAAAATTACATTTGCACAAACCATTTGAGAGTAGCATTTATTTACTTGACTGGACTATTTCAATCTTCTTTTGTGCAGAAACAATCAAATTTGTCATAGAATTCAGATTTATTCTAATCAGATAATTCTTCGAATAATAAGAATTTATAATTTAATGACATATTAATTTTTTAAAATATTTTTTAACGTGTATCAAAATATTCAAAACTAGATATGTATATATAAATAAGTAATATATGGGGAAAAAAGAACCTAAGAATCTCCATTATAATTTAATACATTTTTCTCTCTTCTTTTTAATTACACATTTTTTAATAAAATAATATTACACATAAATTCAAGACTTTTCTTTCTTTTTTAATCACATTATTCAAGAAAAATCACTATTCTAAAATGCATTATCCGTAAAAACTCATTATAATGGATCACAAACAGGGACTGAACCTATTATGAAGTGCTCCTCCTTTAAAGATGGAACTTTTTTCATTCTTTATTTTCTAAATTTTGCTTAAATAGTGGTGACAAACGGATAAGACAAAATTATTTTATTTGTGTAATCTATAAATCTTATTTTTAATACAAAGACAAAGAAGAAAGTCACGAAAACAATAAGAATTTAACATATTATACTAGTATAAGTAGGAGTGGGCACGGGTCTGTTCGGTTCTATTCTAAAGAGAATCGAATCGAACCAAAATTTTCGAGTATCTAGTAAATGGAACCGTCGGGTCCAAATATAATTATGGAACTATTCGGGTTCAGTTCCGTTTGGTTTAGTTCGGTTCGATTCGGTTCCGTTCAGTTCTATACTATAATTAAATTTTTTAACATTTATAATAATATTATATAAATACAACTAATGATATATTCAATGGTTTTGTAATGTCATAGACTAGTAGACTACCTTGTTCAAATGATCGTTACGGTCAAAGTTTCGATCGGCGGAGGTCGCAACTTCAATCGGAGGTCACAGTATCGGTCGACGATTGTATAGGTTTTGAAATGTCAACGAGGCTGAGAGAGTAAGTGCGAGAGTCGAGACAACGTTATACACTTTAGTGTAGCTATTTAGAATTATTTAGTGGATTGGATCTTGTTGGACTAAGAAATGAAACAATAAAATGGGTAATGGAGCCAAAAATTAAAAAATTAGAAATGAAACAAGTTATTGGGCTAAAAATTTGGATTTAGAAATTATTAATTTGTTTAGAAAAAATTAAAATTAAAATAATTTGATTTACTCAATATAAAAAAAAAAAAAAGAAATATTCGGCTCTTATTCGTTTTTTCGGATCTTGGTCTAAAATCGAGAATCGAACCGTACTAGTCGGTTCTCAATTCAAATACCCGTTCGGGTATTTAGTTTGACAAGAACCGTCGGGTTCGGTTCAATTCGGTTCGGGTTCGATTCGATCGGTTTGGTTCTGAAGATTTGCCCAACCCTAAGTATAAGATTCATTTCAACTCAACTCCATAAGTTACATGATCTGATTGAATATCGAACGAGTTTGACAAGATATACAAATCCTTTTTTACATCACGATTCATAAAAAATCTTCCCAAAAATTTTCCTTTTATTCTAAGCATATTAGTTAAAATTTTCTCTCTTTTTGTGTGTGCCTTCTAGAAGTAATAAGTACAACGTGTAACCTTATTTCCCCAGAAAATATTTATGTCAACTTCTAGAAGTAATGTTTATGTCAACTTTTGTTTTTCTAGAAGCTTAAGATGCCTTCAAATTCAAGGCAAGTAGAAAGTACGTGAAATCTGTCAAAAAGGTTTGTGATTTCACTTTAATGTAATTTATTAGGAATATCCTACTTGTACATAATATAGTATTCATAACGGTATTCACATCTCACATGAAGAGGGACTTATTTAATGTAATATTCATAACGATGTCCATCTCTCATATGGAGGGGGACCCACTTTGAATAAAATATTTTTTAGTAGAAGTGGACCCCCTCCATATGAAAGGAATGAACACTGTTATGAATACTCTAATATACGTGTAGTATCATCAAATTATTATATGCAAAAGCGTGAATACAAAGTAAATTTACGAAAGAACAAATTAATCCATATATAACTTCTATCGGAAGAAAATTGAAAAATTAAATTTAGTCCTTGTTTGAGTCACATTATTTCCATAAAAATGTATTTTTGAAAAGCGTATTTATGGAAAATATGTGGTTAAAAAATAAGAAAAAAATTTAAATTTACGTGTAATATTATTTTATTAAAGAATGTGTGATTAAAATAATGTCAAATTATTATTTAAATTATTATTATTTTTTAAAAGAATGTGAATCAAATTGGCCTTAAAAAGTATTTTCCTCCCACAATTTTCTTGATTGAAACAAAAATAGTTGTGAATGCAACTTTAATTGAAATACTTGTTTTGTTTTTTGCAGGCAAAAATAGGATAAATTAAAATATTTATTGTAAGTTGTGCCATCATTTATGAGTACTTGACTCATGAGCCATGAGACGATGTCTTTGTTTGACCCCCTCTTGCAAATTTAATCATTTACTTTCAAGACAACTAAATTTTTAATTAAGGGATTTTGAAAGTGGCACTTTCAAAGTGTATAGAGAAAAATCACATACTTTCTAATATTTAATCAAAAAAGACTGCGCTTATTACAAAATATCTTTTCTGTAAAAGATTTTCTTTCTTTCTAAAAAATAAAAAATAAATCAAACCTAATTTCGCCAATTTTTCACGTCTTCTTCCAATTATTATGCAAAATCAAAGTAATTTTTGTTCTCTTCCATGATGGACAAAGAAATAAAGGTAAGAAACGAGGAGAAATGGGCAAAGTTAACGAGTTAGATAAATGATAAAATTCGAAAGAAAGGATGTCGAGAAAATAGGAGACGACGAGTTGAAATAGGTGGAGGAGACAAAGCACACAAAAATATAAGCTGAAAATTGCTCTAAACAACAGAAATGATGAAAGAATGTATAATTATAAATCATGAAAATACACCACATAAAATGTAATTAAAAATATGACCTTTTTTAATTTTCCCTCTGCTGATACCGTTACAGGTGGAGTATTCTTCATAAAATTTAAGTTAAATTATTATTAGTAATTAATATTAAAATAAAAAATATATAAATTAGTTACATTTCAATTCTTATTTTAACAAGTTTTTGTTTCATTTTAAATGGCTTAACTCTTTTATTATATTACTTTTTGATGAAGAACCCCGGACTGACTCCAATTAGTCACCACAACCGACGGTTGACATTCAATTAGAGACTGACTCAACATCTCCATTAGACCAGCACTTTGATGGAAGCTTCCTTCGTTTGACTCTCCCTATATATATATATTTCTCAACCCTTACTTGCAACAATCATTGAAATCCATTTCTCTTCAAAATTTTCAGCTCTCTAAAGTCCATTAATCTTCAACTTTTAAACGGAATTGATGGAAAATCCAGCAGAAGTTTCAGCAATTGAACAAATTAGAATGCATCTTCTTGGAGAGTTTTCTCCAAGAGAGGTATCGTTTGCTGCTGAGATCGATAATTGCAGCAGAACTAGTAGCATAAGTTCATCAGTTCAATCTGACAATTCTATTTCGATTTCTGATTATTTCATGAACTGTGAGCAGAATGAATTTGATTTTAGCGAATTTTCAAGCGCGGAATCCGTAGATTTGGGTCAAAATCAACTAAACACTCCAATTATAGACCTCACACTACCCAAGGTGAAAAATTTGACTGGGAGGAAGCCTTCACTGAAGATTGAATTGCCGGCGGTGAAGAAATTCGACCGGATCGATTTCTCAGAGTTGTCTCAGTTGAACAAGGCGTCGACGGTGCATGACAAGTCGGTTGGGGAGAAGAAGTGTCACTACAGAGGGGTACGACAGCGGCCATGGGGCAAGTACGCGGCGGAGATCAGGGACCCGAAGCGGCAGGGCTCTCGCGTTTGGCTCGGAACGTTCGACACCGCTGTCGAAGCCGCAAAAGCTTACGACAGGGCGGCATTCAAGATGCGAGGAAGCAAGGCGATTCTGAACTTCCCACTGGAGATTCAGAAGGAAGTATGCAAATCGGATGGCGCCGTGGACGTAGGGAAGAAGCGGCGGAGAGAAGCTGAGGAGGTGGAAGAAGTGAAAGAAAACAAGACGATAAAACTTGAAACGACGGTGAAAAATGAAATGAAGGAATGGCCGTTAACGCCGTCATGCTTGGGCTCGATTTGGGATGGTAAATTTAGCTGTCCGCCATTATCTCCGTTCGGATATTCACAGCTTATTGTCATATGAAAATATGTATGATTCACTGTTTGTAAGCATTTCAGTTTGTCGCCATCGAGTATATATATGATTTTAAGAATTATTGTAAAAAAAATAAAAGTCTTTTTAATTGACAATTTTTAAGTAAAACAAAGATAAACGAACATCAAAAGATATATGATTTTTTTGATTTTTTTTTTTTTGGTTTTAGCAATGGAAATAAATTTCATCCCCAATACCAGTAAATTCAATCCCTTTAATTGACAATTTTCATGTAAAAAAAGTCAAACGAACACCAAAAAACACTTTTATTTCAATATTTCCACTTGGAAAATTATACCAGTCAAACACAATAATTTACAATTCTCAAAAAAACAATTTCTAAATAATTCAATTTTCTGAAATTCGTTTTCTTTTCACCCAAATTCTATTTTTACAATCAAACGAACCCTAAAAGAATATTGTTACATTGCAAGAAAAGGCTGACAGATAGCAAGACGAATACATAGGTGCCAGGCATTGATTGATCCTTGGAAGAAAAAACAATTTTCTACGAGTCAGTGCAATCTTCCACTTGTGCTTCCATAACCCTTTCGGGCAAGAATAAAGCCAGTTAGATGGGCTAAAAAATAGGGAATCAGATGACAGATTGATTTGACAGAAATTAGTTGGCTTTTTTATATAAAAAATAAAAATAAAATTCAAAGTGCCCAATCATGTTTCGCCATGTGTTCACTCTGTTTTTCACCCAATTTTTGAGACTGTCTCTATAGCATTATTGTTATGGCAAAAACTTTGTAGAAAAATTCAAATTAAAAATAGTGATCAAACTTTTATTTTTGTGCATTAATTGCTAGATATGGACAAACAAATTAAACAGATCAGTCCTATTCGGGAAGTCGTCAAATTAAGGATGAAGTCATAATAGCGACTTTTCCGATTCCTAAAAAATAATTTAAATATTTTTGCATGGAAGCCATGGACTGACTGGTTTGTTCATGGTTTGACGTGTTTTATTGTTTTTATATTCATTGGGTCCAATTTAGAGTGCGACATCTTAGGTGAAATTTGGAACCAATTATACAATCATTGCCCGTTATAGGAACAAAATAATTATATGTGTTTGTCAATAACGTTGGAAGACTGCAAAGTACATGTTGGAAGAATTTTGTGAATAGAGACATCAAAAATAAGTATAAAGATAGGGACAAAGTCGAGGCAAGAGTTGGACTCTTTGTCCTTAAGTCGAATTTGCCCCACAACGGTGCCTACGGATTTCGGCAATCGACTCTCAAGATACAACGGCTACACTTGTATTTGTAGCACTCCAAAAAACAAGTACAACGAACCAATTTAGGCTTATGTACTCCAATGATAAAATGAAAGAAAATCAAAATAAATGAATGATTTTGATTTTGGATAGAAGAGAGGATGAGAGACGTTTTGCATATCAAACTGTGAGGAATAGGACACCCAAAGGGTCCTATTTATAGACCATGAAAGGGTGTGGACGAAATGGTTGGGGCCAAACCATGCACCCTTTCCAAACAATGCACCACCTTTATGAAAAGGTGTCTATTCACTGATTTTCGTCCTTTTTCGTAATTTCTCATTCATCCGATATTGATTTTCGAAATGCCAAATATACCCTTCAATACATGCAGAGAAATCAAAATTCTCTTTCGGGGGCGTTGCCCCCGATCCCCGTTTGTGCGCCCCGAAACGGCGAAGTGGCAAACAATTTTGCTTAAACGGATTGAGTCGAGCTTTTGAGTATTTGGTCGAAGTCGATACGAAGTTACTTTAATCGATTTTCAATTCTCGATTTATTTAACCAATATCCAACAGTACATGCATTAGAGCATCTCTATTACTTCGATCAATTACTAGAAAAATTGATGCCTAAATAAAGCAAATGGTTTTCAAGAATTCTTCGTCAATACAATTTGATAGAATCTGTCAAGTTGATAAATTCTTCAAAATAAAGTGAATGGTGTTTAAGAATTCTTCATCGATAGAATCTGTCAAGTTCATAAAATCTTCAAAAACTCTATTAAGTGTTGGGAAATTTTACGCCACTTCCCTTTATTTCTATTTACCCGTAGAATTTTTTGTTATGCAAGAAAATATTAGCAGATAAGGAAAAATAAAAAAAATATAACGTACAAATTAAGCGGATCGTCAAAACTTTTCACTATATAAAAAATTGTTACAATCATATAAAATTTCACTCACCAACCCAATCTTTAAGTATTACAAGGAAAAAATTAAACTGGAACTTTACCACGACTACTTTTTTACACAATATACGAAAAATCTCAAGATACTAGGCTCATAATATTTTCCTTTCAGATCAACTCGTTGGCCACATCCAAAATAATGAAATACGTCCACTATTTATAAAATCAATAACTAAGTAGAAGAGTTTAATTTAAACTCAAATTAGACCCATTTAACTCAACAAGGATTCCTTCATGTGCAAGACTCTAAAATCGGCGGTAAATTGGAGATCAAATTCTACAAGGATTCTACTCTCGACTTTAATTAGAGGATTTTCAAGCAATAACTACCTTTTATTATTTGCAATAAGAGTCCTTCAATTTTTGGCCTTTGAGACAATTACCCAACATTAAGTATATTGACTTCTCTATTACTTCGATGAATGACTAGAAAAACTGATGTATAAATAAAGTAAACGTGTTTAAGAATTCTCCATCAATACAATTTGATAGAATCCATCATGTTGATAAACTGACTGGGTTTGTTCATGGTTGACGTGCTTTTATTGTTTTTATATTATTTGGGTCCAATTTAGAGTGCGACATCTTAGGTGCAATTTGGAATCAATTATCCAATAATTGCCCATTATAGGAGCAAGATAATTATATGTGTTTGTCAATACCGTTGGAAGACTGCAAACTACATGCATTAGAGCATCTCTATTACTTCGATCAATTACTAGAAAAATTTATGCATAAATAAAGTAAATGGCGTTTAAGAATTCTTCGTCAATACAATTTGATAGAATCTGTCAAGTTGATAAATTCTTCAGAAGCTCTTTAAATATATTGACTTCTCTTTTACTTTGATGAATGACTAGAAAAATTGATGTATAAATAAAGTGAATGGAGTTTAAGAATTCTTTATTCATAAAATCTTCAAAAGCTCCATTAAGTATATTGACTTTGTTACTAATCATAAACGATGCTCTCAATGAGGTCAACGTGGAAGCCCCATGTTCATACACGTGGCAAGTCACAAGAGTCAACGGCAGAGGTTGTTACATTGAATGTCGAGGTCATTTAACTAGAAATATTCTAAGTGGTCCTAGCCTTACGTGTCCGAGGTGGGTTTATTTCTTGTTGCCGAACTCTATAGCTTTCGAAATCCTTGACAATCAGAAGAGGACATGATAAGCGCACCTTTAGAGTTGATTGATGCGATGTTCCCATTTAATTAAGTGTCAAGGATTTCAACCTAGAATTGTAGGGTGACTGACCTCTTGTCAAAAGTCTTCAATACAATTAATGTGAAATAGAGTTGATGTGACGCCAGAGTCTAGCAGATCAAGGCACGTGGATCGAATCCAACAGTTATCATGTCGGCCTGATCATTATAAATATGCGATTCTTGTCCATTATTTAGCTTCTCCTATTTCCACAATTATACGTATTTACGGTCGATACATTGCGAAATATGTCCATATGTACGCTGTCTTCAAACGACACATATTGACCATTTTTGGAGGTCAACAAACTTCTCTATTACTTCGATCAATTACTAGAAAAACTTGTGTATAAATAAAGTAAACGGTGTTTAAGAATTCTCCATCAATACAATTTGATAGAATCCGTCATGTTGATTTAATCCTCAAAAGTCAAAAGCTCTATTAATATATTGACTCGACAATATTTGTATCTTTATGTCTCTTCACTAGATGTCAATATCACGTGAATTAAAAATCTTTCAACTTAGATGCTTTATAGATATTCAAGAATTCTTACCCACATATCATCCTTACCTTTCCACTCGTGTTTAGGAGTTATTAATCGTTTATTTTCAAGTGCACTTTGTCATTCCAGTTTTTAATTAACTTTTTTCAAATTCATTTTTAACTATACATTTTTTTAATAAATTAATTTTGCAAGTGTTTCGCGCGGGTTAGTCGCTAACAATTAAAAATGGATCAGACGATTGTGTAAGGGACAAACCTCTTGAGACAAAGTCCCAAAAAGGGGTATTTTTATTGGCGATCACTTTACAATTGGAAAATAAAAATAGAATGCCTTCAAGGGGCGCAAGCACACGAGTTACTGAAAAGAAGTGTTTTAAATCTAAACTAAGAAATTTAAAATTACATATTATCTGTTTGAGAGTGTTTGATTCGGGATCAATTGCTTTATGTCTTTTCTTCCTTTTATACTCCCTGGATGATCTCTTCGTGATTAACCGTTTAAAAACTGCTTGATCGCTCTATAATTGCCCACTTTCTTCATAGTGGCAAACTTGTCATGGAACTGCCTTCTCTAACTGCTGTCATTACTTTTGTCGTTCAACTGTCTTCAATTGAATTCCTTGAATCGTGGAACGTGATAGGGCTACTCAATAACTGCTTCATTAACCGCACCTTTGAGTAACCATAACATCTTATGTTTGCTAAGATCCTAGGCGACTCGAAAGTTTGGGCGAGAACAGGGTCACAGTTCTGGGCGACTGCATGGCAATCCATTCACTCAAATCTTGGGCGATTTATAACCTTGGACGATGGTATTACCGCGTTCATGGGCTTCCCTATTTGAGCCTTCATTCTACATTGCCTGATTGGGCCGTTCTTTGGGCTATCTGATTTGGGGATCCTCCAATTGGACTTCATTCCTTGGGCTATTCGATTTGGGCTGAACTTTTGTGTGTCAACAATTACCCCCCAATTATTAATTTTTGCCATATTCACTTTGTATTTCCCAGCAACACTCGAAATTCTCAAGAATTTCAATCATTGTTTTCTTCCATAGTCTGAAAAGGTGTGACGTTTGCAAACCCATATAACCCCCAAATACACACCATTTCATTACACTACTAAATCACGCC